CCTCTGGTATGGAGAAACCATTGTTCATGTCGAGAAATCTTTTCGACTCAGTATTTTGAGTGGCTGCAGCCTATTTCTTCGGCGAGTGTAACAAAATCTAGTCCTTCCGCTATCGTTAGCGTTGTTTCCAGTTTTTTGCACTGTCGTGAACTTTCTCTTGCGTGGAGAGGTGGCCACTTCGAAGCACTGCGTTCTGGGTCACAGGTGGCATCTGGCTTTCGAGGGGACACCTCCCTGTGGATGTTCCGAGGCCTCAGCGCTAGAAGCAGCCCCTGCTCCAGCCTCCGGGGCTCAGAGGAGCCTGAGTGACCCAGTTTGGATGCACTCGACGTCCCGACTCTCCTGCCTTATTCGGGAACCACAGAAAGCATTGCAGAAAGGAAGCCGGTCGAGCTACGCCCAGAACTTTCCCCATCTGTTTGCCATAAAGTTGAAGAGTAAACATTCTCTGTAATTCATGAGCAGCACGTTTGCAGGGCCCGCTGCCTGCCTTCGGGCTCCCTGTCTGGCAGAACTAAGGTCTGTTGTGGGAAAAGAAGAGGCAGGACCTTGTAAAAAGAAGGAAGATCTTTCAGTCACTGACATGAAACCGCAGTCACGGCAAACCAGGCCCAGAACAGTCCGTAACCATTATGTCTTTCTATTGTGTTTTTACATTACATCCCCTGAGACCATTGCCTTAAAATATGGATTCACAGTCTGTCCATTTAAATCTTTTTTTAAAGCACAGTGCCCCCCCCACCCCCACCCCGTGTCTGGAATTTTAAAATCTACATCCTCGGGGTCTGGATGTTTGGGGATGAGATTTCCATTTTTATGTTTTGATCCTGCTCCGACAAAGCCAATCACAACAAGTCATTAAGCACGTCCTGGCTTCCAAGCTAAGAGGATCCAGCCTCCTTCTTCCAAAGAGACGAAGCTTGGAACCTTAAACGGCTACAATCCACATTTTAAAATCCTGCTGCGAACAGACCATCACCTTGGGTTTTGGAAGAGCTACATCACTCAGCTGGAATGGCTCCCAGGGAAGCCAGGCTGCACGTGAGCCAGCAGACCTTCCACGGCGATTCCGACATTCCTAAGAACTCCCACATCTCAATCGTTAGGCGACGCAGGCTAAAGGGGTCTTCAACAAGACAAGTTCTTACACGAAAGGAGCCTTTTGGGAACTTCCTAAGGTTCAGTTTTTTCCTCCATCGATACCCAGCTCTCCCAGCAACTTGATGCTCAACACATTCTCCTTGAAACCAGCAGAGACACTTTAGTAAGTTGTGTTCTTGGATTTTCCCTGAAACCATTCTCACAAGAAAAATCTATGTGGAGATGAGTTTTTATCCCCCTTAGAAAACTGTAGTAAGTCTACTAAGAACTGCCAGGATGGGTAAACCAAGGGAAGACCATGTCAGGTGCTGAAACAAACATTAAGACAGTGGTGCCATGATTAAATAAGCTTTTATTGTCACATTTAACTGCTTTGTCAGATACACACTGTAGGTTTTCAGTATGGCATAAAATAAAAACATATTCCTGGATGTCAAAACATGAACAGAGGTGGCAATGGCACTTAAAAAATTAAATTAAATTCTCAACGCCGCTGATGCCGCTGGTAGGGAGCTGATAAAACCAGATACACCTGTGACATTTCAAACCAAAGGGCAGCGGGTGGAGGCCACAAAACCAGGAGGCAGTGTAACACAGACCAAGAAGGGACACCGGGAGAAGGGGGTTTCAGCATCTTTCAGTCCACACTGTCTAACTCAGCACTGGAACTGGAGCTCACCGAGTCAGCATCACTCCTACACGAGACTACTTGTCAACACCTGGACTTTAAGCCTCTCTGACCCCTTCCTTACTCTCCCAGGTCCTGACTGGTCCAAAGGAAGGGCAGTTCTGCCCCAGAGCGTCAAGTTCCTGGGCTGACCTCGTCATCAACGGTGGGTCTTGTCAATCCCAGACCAGGAGCCTGAAATGCTTATGAATGTCTTTAGTGGTTTCACACATTCTGGGCAAAAGTAGAAAACAAGCAGAAATTAAATAAAAACATAGGTGCATCCCAAAAGGAAGTCTACACCTTCCACAATCATCTTCAGGATGGCAGCTGAAAAAAAAAGGATGGTTATTCAGACTTAAAATAAATCTTTATTCACCAAGGTTCTCAAACAGCTCATTGAATGTTGTTCCTTCACAAATGAAACTAGCTCTGGGATTTATCAGACAACCTAAGTGAGTCACGTCCCTTCTGTGTGACATGGCTGAGTGTACTGTGTCCAGAGTCTGTGGCCATGAAACTCGGGCCTGCAACAGACTCCTTCCTCGGCCCACTGCTGTGTCCTTTATTCAGACTCCAGAACAGAGACGTCAATGTGGCTAGTGCAACACAGCAGTCACTGTGATTCCACAAGAGAAAAGCAAGTAGTTTATTTTATGACACACTTATTTGGGTGATTACTTACTGGTAATTAGTATTTCTACATTTTTTAAAGGCAACCATTTTAAGTGACAATACGTATCAGGCTAGTAGAAAAAGTTAAACAAAGCCCTCTCTTTCAATCTTACAAAGTCATGCAGACAAGAGAAGGTACATCCGATTTGTTCCAATCAGGCTGCTTGGAATTATCAAAATTTCTTTCCTGGCAAAGATGAGTTTGGCTCGTCATAGAAAGAAGGTTCTCTGAAGGCTGCTGCTGAACTCGCTTCCCTTTGAGAAAGTAAATTTCAAGGCATGATAGTGCAAGAGGTAAGCTTTGATTTACAGAACATTATAGACTAATTGTGCTTAGTCTCTGATTTCCAATTCATTTAAAGAACAGAAACTATGCTGATAAGTTTCTTTTTGCCTAAATTTACCAGTATATCCATGAATCGCACCAGAATTAGGACAATTTGATTATCTTAATGATTCTGTCTTGACACCTGCCCACGGCACCTGTGGGCGAGGCCCTGTGGATGCGAGGCCCCTGCCAGTTCTGTGCCCAGGACTCCCTTGGGAGCCCAGGACTCTAAGAAAGTAGTTCTCCCTCCAGACTGAGTCCTCAAAACAATCTCTCAATATGTGATTAAGAAAACAGTGCTAAGTGGAGAGCTCTTTCATTCCATTAAATCTGAGAGGTCTGCGTGTTCCGGGAGCCCCCGTCAGGGTGTGTCAGGGGCCGGGGATCCCTGGACTGTGAGTGTTCGCTGTGAGAGGGCTGTGTGGGGTCCATCAGATTCTCACACTCGCTGTCATCTGACTCCTCCACACTGTCTCCAGCTGCTCTCTGGGAGGGAGGAAGGTCTGCTCCACTTCCAGGGTACTTCAGTCCGGCACTGCTAGAGGCGTAACTGGAAGAGCCCACGGCTTGCGGTCGAGGCATAAAGACACTTGTTTCCATGCGAGAATGGCTCAGAGTACTTTCTTGATTGTTTGGGTGGAAATCAGAATAAGGGGGAGGGGGATCAGAGGCCTCTGCATCTCCCAGTGAACTTCTACCTTCAGCGGCAAACCCAGAATAGGGCGTCCGAGGGCTGAGCGCCGGCTCCAGACTTTCAGATGGCACCTGTCTGCTTACCATCGCCTGCTGCAACCCTGGGAAAAAAAAGGAAGAAACTGTAACACTGTCTATTTTCCCAGCTGTGCATCTCAGTGCATCAAGCTCAACCTGAACATTCTAGAAAATAGCAACAAAGCAGTGAAACTGATTATTACTGTTAATTGTTCTACATTTGCATAGTACTTCATAATTTACAAAATACTTTTCTACACATTAATTCATTGAAACTTCAAAACAGCCTTCTGAAGTACTCTCATCACTGTTGATATTGTTTCTATGACACAGGCAAAAAGCCAGAGTTCAAAAGGTGAAGTGACTTCACGAAAGAAACAGCTAGAAGTGGGCATGACACTCCCAGTGCAGGTCTTTAACCCAAATCCTAGGGCCCTCACCTGCTGACCGTGATCAAGACTGGGGGACAGAGGCTAAGAAAATAGCCCTTACCACCTCGGCAGTCATCTGAATGTGAGTTTTTTCCTTGACAAACCTCACATCAAAAAAACATATATATATATATTTTAATTGATTTTTAGAGGAAGGGGGAAAGAGAGAGAAACAAACATCAATTTGCTGTTCCACTTATTTCATGCATTCAGTGGCTGATTCTTGTATGTGCCCTGGAACCACAACCTTGGCGTATATAGCGGATGCTGCTCTAACCAACGGAGCCACCCGCCCAGAGCCAAGCTCACATCTTTACAACCACCTGTCACAATACACGGATATACCACCTTCTCCCTAAACGTCGAAGGGCCAGTTTTTCCAGGTATTAGGCCATAATTTTTCTACGTTTTAATGAATGCTCTGAAACAGCCCCATATCTGAGTCTATAGCCTTTAAGTTTTTTAAAGTACATTTTTATATTATGAAAACGATACTTTCACAAAATTTAGAAAAAAAGAAAATTAAAATTGCCCACAATTCTATCACCCAGGTAACGCTTAGAATTTTGGTGAAAAGACCACAAGATTTGGGTTAAAAAAATGTAAACCTTAGGTGTCAGCCCCCCCCCCATTTCCTGAGCTCCGCTCTTGTGCAGTTTGCGTGTTTTGTGTGTATGTTTCACACACAGCAAAGGCCACATTTACGTCACCTCACACCCTATGTTCTTGCTTAAGGTCATATACTGGGCTTTATCCCATGTCATTAAAATTCACTTCGCTGGCTGTCCAATGGTCCAGTGCACAGACAGACATACCAACGTTTATTCACTGTTCTACTGCTGCTGGTTCAACCATCTGAATGGGTGTCTCCGGAGTTTAGAATTACAAAGTTGTGGTTAACATTCTTGCGCGCAGATCCCTGTCTGCCTTTCTGACTACCCCTAGAAAACTAACAGTAGACATGAACCAGTCATTTACTTGGAAATATGTTACATTTTAATTGGCTTGCAAATATTTTATTAAATTAGAAAAGGTTAGCCACACCCTTCTCTCTTACACGTGATATCGTATGCCACACATTTTACAAATCTTACTGACAAACGTTAAATCTGGTGGCTTTACAGCAAGCATGTCTGTCACTAGGCTGGGATTAAGAGATTCTTGGGCCTAATTCCCAATCGACCAGCTGGTTCTTTAGCGTAAAGGTATCCATCGTCCACGGCTACCAATAAACAAACTTTTATAGCCTTTGCTGTGACCCTGACTACGAGCCAAATGTCAACTTAAAAGCATTTTAAGTGGTGCCTGGATGCGGCTGCAGTGAGCATAGGGCGTGCTGGGCGGGCCAGGGTTCCTTCACGCCCATTGCAGGCAGGCTGAGGCAGCCAACACGTGCACAGGTCAGCCAGTCTCCTCTCAGGACTATCTAACTTGTGGCAGCCATTCTACCTGGGGTCCAGTTCCTTCCAGCATCAGACTCAAGAAGGTACCACGGAAACAGTGCTTCTCTTCTGAAAAAACTCGAAGGAAGGGGGTGCCTGCTCCCAAACAGCCCTGGGGCTTAGTGCGAGCAGGGGCGCCTAGGTGGCTCACTGCACCGTTGCACGGAGGGACCGGGCACTCCGGCGCCGAGCAGTGGAGGTAACGCGACACTCACTTCTTTCTTGCTCCCTCTCGTTTCTCCTCTGAGTGACTTGTCTTCGCAGTTTGTTCACTTCCGCCTCACAAGACTCAACAACGCGCTCGCTCTTCTCCACGTCTGCACACACTGCCTGGGGGGAAACGGCAACGAGCAGTCAGCGTCCATCCGCGCACGAGGCACCGTGAGCACAGCTTCACGGCCGCCCCGGAGCCCAGGCGCCTTCACACGGAAGGCAGAGCAACCCAGGAGGCCCCAGAGACCAGCACCCCCAGTCACTGACTGTTAAGATTACTATGCTGTTTAGCTTATAAATTCTTGAAAAATAAGGGTAAGCTGGGAAAGATTTATATTTTTCCTAGATTATTCATTTTTATTGAAATGAAAACAGGCTTTCTGACTCCAGTCAAAGGATGAACAAAAGACGGGAGTAAGATGCTTTCAACTTTTATTTATAACCAACAATCACAAATCAGAGGACATGAAAAAAGATTCACTTAACAGAAAATATTCATAATTAGGGAGAGCTGAAATAGGAAATAGGTTAACAAGAGACAACATTTGAGGTGCATCTGTGTAATTAAACATCCCCACCAGGCACTCTGTGTGATACTGGTGCTTTCAGGGCGGCCCTCACGCAACTGGCACCGACATGCAGAGCAGCCACAGTGCTGATGTCTAAAAACAGCCTGGTCATAAATTCAGGACAAAGCTGCTTTTCACCGCATGTTCCCTCCACAGCAGAAATACCAGAGTGCACAGAAAGTAGGCCAGTGACCAGCGAGCCTGTATAAGGCTCCCTCTGCTGCCAGGGGTACCGTGATCCTAACTGGGACCCTGACATGGGACGCTGCCCGCTGGGTGCGGTCGTTTTGCCCAGCTGAACTCGGTCTGCTTCCTCTTCCTCAGTGGCTTTCCTGGGCTTCTTTCCCAAAGTGGGGCTTCCCAGTCCTGGGAGGGCTCTGTCAGCTCCACCACCTTCCTCCTTGGCCTCAAAGCCTCTTTTGTTCTTAGGTTTTAGAGAAAATTACTCCTAAGAATGCATCAGGGGTGATAAAAGAACGTGGGAAACTACTGTTAGCACCTAGGTCAGTGTTTGGCTTGCAGGAGTTGTTTCCATAAATATTTGTTGCATGAATGACTAGGAATGAACAGGTTCCACTGTGATCCTCTCACCCAATGGCGGCACCGGAGCAGAGTGAGGGAGTGAGAGGAGGAGGCAGGCTGTCCTGAGTTTGGTGGTGTTTCTACCCAGTGTACACCTGATGAGATAGCTGGGTTCTCAGCAACCTTGCTTTAAATACGGACACATTTCCCTAGAAAACTCTGCTATAAATGGTTCACAGCGCTGAAAGTAATGATACTAATACTGTGCTCGAGTCTCCAGAGCAGGCATGGAGAGGAGGCAGGCCTCTGCATGCTGCCATGGCAACCACTCCACCTCTGATACTACTTTGGGAAAGTACATTCTGACGTGTGGACGACAACTCACATCTCAGTTGGAAGAGTATTAAAAATTAAAGTAAAACTAAAAGCATTTGGGTAATACAAGTAAGATTAAACTAGGAAATAAATCAGTTACCTGCACTTTCTCCTGAAGTGCATTATAAACCTGATAGATCGCCCTGATGTCTTTCATTACTCCATCCTTGTCGAAGAAGTCAGTCCTAGAAAACAAAGGTGTCACAGAGATTACAGCTGCTACGAGCATGCAAGGCACTTGCCTATCCCTCTCTACCTTCACCTAGTCTTAAATGCTGCAACGCCAAGGTGACAGGTCCCAGCAATGGTGTCACATTACTAGATTATAGAAGAAAAATACTCTAGAGGAAACTTTATATCAATTACAAAAACAATTGTGGCAAATGATAAAAAGGTAATGGTAAAAGTAAATTATCTTTCCAATAAGAATAACATTTTGATATGTAGTGGTGGTGGTCAAGACTAGAAAATTACCTCACTGCATTTTTCAGTTTCAATCATATCAAACGTGATTGCATATTTCTCCATAAACTGTTTTTATCTCCATAAACCTTTTAAATCTTAACAAAAGAGAAGGAAGACCTTGCCCTTGACCTGCCCACTTACCCGTGCTCTTTAATAACTTTGGCATAACTCTGAGAAGTGTTTGGCACTGAAGACACTTTATACTCCTGCTGGCTGGTGTTGCCCAGGTTGGGAATAGCGAGGGATATCCTCTGATTATACCTGTGGGGAGATTGAGAGATCCCATCAACAGCACTGCTGACTGAAGAATGGGACTGGCAGGTGCCGAGGAGGACGTGAGTGCTCAAGAAATACTACTGAACATTCATGTAACCTTGCAAATGGCTATTTAACACTAATCATGTTCACTGCTGTCAATGAAACTCACTCTACTACATGTGAATTTCCAGAGAGAAACCTTTCTGTTGTTTACAACAGATACCAGGATTTATGATCATTTTTCTTTTTTTTGCTTAAAATGTTCACAATGCAACACCCTCGTTAGCCAGCAGGTGGGTCAATTTTACAGTCTGTCTTTGAAACCTGTGCTTCACAATTACAATCAGACTTCCCGAGCAATGAAACCGTATTTCCACATAGCGGGTTATGGCGAATAAATGATGATATCCAGCTATTTAGTCCATAAGAATTTAGGCATAAATAACATGTCTTTCTGATGCTTCTTGATTCAAAAACAATTTTAATTTCTACAACTAACTGAGAGAAAAACGTCTTCTCTAAGTACAAAGACAACTAGCTAAAGGAGAATTATGAAAGGGTTTCTTTGAAGATGCTATAAAATGCACGTTTCAAAGTCACAAATATCCATGACGTACAGCAGCACCTTTTTGATGTCCACGTGAGGCTGGCGGGACACTTTCCTTACCTCCGATTCGGTCTGAAGAGGACATACTCTAAAGCGTGCGTGGAGCTGTTGGCGGTGGAGATGAAGCTGAAGAGGAGGAAGACAAGGTCAGGCACCCCCAGGACACGGGTCAGCTGCTTATGGAGGACCTGCTCTCTGTAGGACATCTGCTGCTGTGTGTTTCGCCGGAACCTGTACCACCCGATGACTTTCTACAACAGAAAACAGGAGGAAATCTTACTAATTTAGCTCTGAATGTGTCCACACAAACACCTGTACACAAACGTTCAACGCAGCTCTGTGCGATTGCACAAAAATGAAAACGACCCAGCTGTCCATCCACAGGGTAAACAAACTGTGTTACAGCTACACACTGGATGCCTACTCAGTAATAAAAACAAACTGATATATACAACACAGATAAATTCCAAAATAATTATGCCAAGTGAAAGAAGCCAGACCAAAAAAATAAAACCATAGGATTCTACTCATGTAAAATTCTAGAAAATGAAAACCAATCTCTAGTGACATGAAACAGATGCAGCAGATCAGTGGTGGACTGGGGTGGAGGTGGGGTGGGAAGGAGGGATCAGAAAAGGGCCCAAGGAGGTTTGCAGTAACAGACATGGCATTAGCTTCTGATGATAATGGTTTCATAGGTGTATACACGTATCAAAATGTACCAAAGTGCTTACTGTAAGTATGTGCAGTTTACTGTATGGCAATTATACCTCAGTGCAATGATTCTTACAGTTTAGCTTTGTCAGCTCTAACGATCGGTTAACTAAGCTGGCCAAGCGAATTAAACTAATATGTTCTCTGGAAGACTAGTTCTCCTAATGTGAGCTGCAGGACATCTGGAAGACAGGTGAGCTATGGGACACCTGGGAGCTTGCTAACATGGTCCTGGGCCCCACCCAAACCTGCAGAATCTGAACCTCTGCAGGTAGAGCCAGGATTCTGAATTTCAGATAAGTTTCTTGCTGTCGAGACAATAAATTTAATTTAATTCGTTATTAGAAGAATAAACTTCATATAGCTTCTTTCTTTGAAATAAACTCTCAGTGAAAATCCTGTTTTAAGATATAAAGGTAGTTTAAAATGCTGTCATATGAAAGTTAACAGTAAGTCTAGATTAAATCTTGCCACTTTCATGTTAGAAGCAAGTGAACCATGCTTTGCTGAGCCCCTGTGCCGGGCCCCCAGCCAATGATGTTACGGATATTTTAATTAATTATGGCAACAACCCTGGGAGGTGAGTACTATTTCTCTACTGAGTTCATACCACTGCAAAGAACTCCAGGAAACAAACAGAGCCCACCTCAAGTAGTACCACTAAGCACAAAGTATGACTTCAAATGTTATTAAAGCAATTAGTTCTGATATTCTTTAAATAAAAAGAAAACCCAACCCAGCTGGGCATGGCTGAGTGGTTGAGCATCGGCCTAGGATCCAGGAGAGATCGAGGTTCGATTCCCAGTCAGGGCACAGGCCTGGGTTTTGGGCTCGATCCCCAGTAGCGGGTGTGCAGGAGGCAGCTGATCAATGACTCTCATCATTGATGTTTCTATATCTCTCCCTCTCCCTTCCTCTCTCTGAAATCAATAAAGTTATATTAAAAAAAAGAGAAAGAAAGAAAGAAAGAAAGAAAGAAAGAAAGAAAGAAAGAAAGAAAGAAAGAAAGAAAGAAAGAAAGAAAACCCACCCACTTCCAAAGCATAAATCTCATAGAGATGCTCTGTCCGAAGTCACGGAGCTAGTGAGCAAGGGCCATTGTCTGGACCCTGTCCTTTCCCACTGCACCTATTAACTTCAAAATTCCACATCAGTCACACAAGGTGGTCACAAAAAAGTAAAAAATAAAAATAAAAATAAAAAATAGGGATGACAGTAACAGCACTTGACCTGAGGCTGCTGCAGGGATTTGTGTCACTGCCTGGAAGTCTCAGCACGTGGCCTGGCCCAGAGCCGAAGTGGTCAGTGATACCAGTTTTCGTATCTTCGTGCCTAGATGCTAGAACTTACTTAGGCCAGATTCCTAGAGGCGACACTGTGTATCTAAAACTGTATTGCAACACCCTCCTCCTAAATGTCTGTATCAACTTACATTCCCACCGACTACAGCACCGGTGCCCCACAGCCCTGCCAGCGCTGGATGCTAGCGATCCTTTCATGCGCTGCCAATCTGATGGGCAAAAAATAGTGTCACGTTGTTTCTTTTTTCCCCTATCTTCACTGGAGGATGTCAACTGATTTTAGAGAGGAAGGGAGAGAAACATCAATGTGAGAGAAACACTGATCTGCTGCCTCCCATAAGTGCCTCACCGGGCACCTAACCCAAAACCTGGGCATGCGCTCTGGGAGTCGAACCCCCAACCTTTCGGTGTACGGGACAACGCTCCAAATAACCGAGCCGCCCGGCGAGGGCTGTGTCACACTGTTTCAATTTGCGTTTCCTCAGAGGTTAGCCATCTTTCCATTTATTTCTTGGCCATTTGTGGGGGTTTTCTTTTGTGAATTTCCTCCTGATAATCTTTATTCCTTTTTCTCACTTTAAGTTTTTTCATCTGTTTAAAAGAAAATACTCTGGAACTTTTAGTACATAGCGAGCGCTCTAGAAAACTGTGCTCCAGTAATAATTGTCATGGAAGAAATTTTAGTTCTAGAAAGTATGAGTCACTGTCTCGATACGAAACTAAGTGGAATGCAGAGGGACAGAGAGGTTCCGGAACGTGTGCCTCTGGGAAGTCACCGAAGGCGGGAGCTGGCCACGATGCCTTGCAGCTGCCACTCCCTTGGGGGGGGGATGCGACTGGGTCAGGCTCTGCGGACACAGCACCTCCTGAGCCTGTTGTCACTCACAGAGCCATCTGTCCTTTCTTCCGACCTGTCCCCACACCTCCCACTCTCCTGCTCCCTTACCTGCCTCAGAGGCACTGGGACCAGGCTGGTCACAGACAACGCGCGCCCCACCTCCTAGGCTCGTTCGTCCTCAGACGCCTCAGGGACCAGGTCCCACACGTGGTTTTATCCACAGGCAGTCTTTTAAAAAAGCTTTCTGCAATACATGTTTCTAAACAAAGGCACTCTGTTCTCTGTTTAACAAGTTGAAAAGTTTTTATTGGTGCTTTTTCCCTGAAGTGGTGGTTTAATCTAATTTTTCTGGAATTTATATACCAAGGTAAAAATTATAAAATTAATATATGCGTATTAAATATTCACAAAATTATTTTTTAAACTATAATGTAGAAAGACAACACCATCCAGACTCAACTATTATTGATTTTTGGATTATAGTTCACTTTTTCTGATTTTTACATAATAGAGTCACACTATAAATATCTAAACTTCTTTCTATTGACACATTGTAAACACTGTCTCGAATCTGTAACTTCCCTTTAAAATTTACTCAAGGTAACAGACCTCACATATATTAACATCCAGCTCACTGTTCATTCCACACCCTCTGGTTTTAAGCTTCGCTGATGATATAAGGAGTGATTTCCAAATCAGAATGGCAACAAATGCAGCGTACCTTTCTCCGATCTTTGAGAATCCTGTCCAAACTCTCTTCGTTCACTTTGCTTGCATAGTCATAAAAACTGTTATTTTTACAAGAGAAAAACACATTGTGTTAAAACCACATGGTGCTGTGACATGGATATGCTCAGCTACATGTGTCTATGGGTCATCTACCCCAAATCTATCTTGGTAATAAAGATAGAACTGTCTTCAGTAGATATGTAAAGAGAAATCAATCGAAATGCTTTACCGATGTGAGGTATCTTCTGCATCAAAGACTACTCAAGAGGCTGCTACATTCAAGAGGTATTACTTCCACATGTGGGAGGTGCTGATAGCAACTAAGTATAAAATATATGGTTTCAAGTGGCTGTGACATCTTTTCCTTGTTTCTAAGTATCAATTACTTATAAAAAGGAAAGAATGTAGGGCTCACTTTCTGATAAATGAGGAAGGGAAATGAACACTTGTTGATGCTTAACCAGAAACTCAGCTGCACGCTTTCTCATGTTGTTTTACTTCATTCTTGCCTCAATACTGGGAGGTATTAGTTTAGCCCAACAAGTCAACAAGTTTTACTCCTGTTTTGGTAGATACAGATGCTGAAGCTAAGTGATTTGCCCCAGATCACAAAGCTGGGAGCTGGAGAGCTGGGGTTGTGAAGCTGGGTCTGGCTAGCTTCAAATCAAATTCACCTGCCCTTAAAACAGACCAGCCTGCCCAGGATCCTGGGCTGAGCAGCACAGCACAATGACTTGTGGGCTTTTCTACCACCGGTCTCGGTTTTAGGAATGCGGTCCTTCTGCCCCTCCTCCCACCACAACAAGCCCAGGCCTCATAAAGTAGGAAGTCGTTCAAGATCTAGTAAAAACCCTGAACTGGGAGTCAGGAGAGTTCAGCTCCAGCTCAGTGCTGCTTCTCACTATATGATCTTGAGCATGTCTCTTAAGCTATCTGCCCCCATTTCCTTTTCTGCAAAATAGAGCTTGGCATAGACAGATGATCTCTAAGGTTCCTTTCAGCTCTAAGGACTACAAGTCTATGATCTACACTGAGGGAAATTCTTGTTCTGCTCTGCATTTGCTGACAGTGTTTTAAGGAATTCCTCAGAGGGCAAGGCAGGGACACCAGAACAGCTCTAGACAGTCAGGACTGCACTGGCACTTGCATGGACCAGACAGAGGCACCATGTGGACAGGGCTGGAATAATTTCATCTGCTCTGAGATTCTTCTCAAATGAACTGCTGGTTGCTTGTCTTGCTTCCCACCCCTCTCAGTTCCGCATAAATCTAGAACAGATGAGCTCCTTGGCTCTTCTGAGGCCTTGTCCACAGGTAGCCATCTCCCATGAAGACAAAACTGAGAGAAGGGGTGTGTGTGTGTGTTG